TGAAGGTCATGTGTGACCTCATATGAAAACGTTGTTGTGCTGTCTTCACCTGGGGCTCCTTTTTTCTCTTCAGCAAAATGCCCAGGTTTCAAGTAACAATATTTTTGTCTTTGATGTAAAGTTCATGGAAGGCATCTCATATTCTATTCTATATTATATATTTGTTTCTCTTTAGAAAGAAAAAATATGCAAAAACAAAAAATAAGTAACATGAGAGAATAGGGTAGAAAAATACATGGGTGATATTTAAAACACTCAGCATGTATGTGATGGAACTCAAGATTTAAAGTAATCCAGATGAAGAGTTGAGGTACCAGCTAGTGAAGAAGTTGAGGAAGCTGGATGTTTAAAATGTTTCTCACATTGGAAAGATGATTTGTGACCGTGTTTTTTAGTCTCACACACTGCAGCCTGCTAGTTCAGTGTGTCTTTCAGACATTCGCCCACCCACCGGCCCAATCCCCTCCCATCTCTCCTCCCATCTCTTCTCTCTCTCTCTCTCTTTCCAAAAAACTCACTCTGCACATTATGAAACTCTTCTTTCCAAACATGCCCCACTGACCCCTTTCCTTTTTCACTGGTTTCTCCTTCCTAAGTCACTTCCTGAGCTACTTTTTCTCCTAAATCGCCTCTTATCATAAGGTAGAGCTTGACAGTTGAAAAAAAAATGTTTTTCTGACTATATAAAATATAGTTTTCTGACTACAAATATAAGGTTACAGGAGAAAACTTTGAAAAATATGGGAAAGCAAAAGGAATAAAATAAAAATTAGCACAGTTACTACCTTAGACTGTTTTCTACTTATCATCTCTGTATCTATTTAAAATTTGCAATTTTTCTGCACTTAGTGTTTTATGGCCTGCTTTTTGCACATAACTACAAGAAAATATATATTTCTCTTTGTAACTAAGTAGTCTTCCAACACCTGATTATGATCACCAAATGGCATGAGCCATTGCTTATTTAATTAGTCTCCTACTGGTGGACATTTAGTTTGTTTCCAATTTTTCTGTATTATATATAATGCTGCAGTGAACATCTTTTATGTGCTTACATCTCTGATAATTACCTTAGAATAAATGCTTAGGAGTGTTACAGCTGCACAGAAGGATGGGTATGTGTGTCATCAAGGCCATCACCACATATTATTCTGCAGCCATCTCTTGAAGACAGGCAAAACAACTTTCTCCATTGCGTTTAATGCTAAAGCTCAGTCTGATGTTTCATTTGGGTCTTGCTTATTGTTATGGTTCCTCAGTTCATAGTCACTCGGTACTTTACTGTCCTTTGTCTCTGAAGAAACCTAGGTAAGTGAGAGACCAGAAAATGTGGTAGTGTGAAGGAGATCAATCCTGAAAAGTTCAGAGGCAGGAAGATGACTTAAGGACGTAATCCAAGTTTGAAATAAATCATTCAGTTCCCACTATTTCTCTTATTGAGTTTCCACATGTCACAATAATAGGCACCTTGGCAGAGATTGTGGAAAAAAGGAAATCAAAGCCTCACAACTTTAAAGTCCATGAGACTTAGTAGAAGAATACCATCTCCCAGCTCTAACTCTGTCCAAAAGAGATAAGGTCTTTGGCGATGAAATGCTCATATATTTACTTTTTATTTAAAAAGCATTTTGCCTTATTGAAATTTGAACTCTTTTCTCCCTCAATTTGTTCACTCATCTCATTAAGAGCTACTGTTATCTAAAAAATTCACTCTTGAATGATGTCTGAAAGAGCCCTTTCTATGTGACTNCTACTGTTATCTAAAAAATTCACTCTTGAATGATGTCTGAAAGAGCCCTTTCTATGTGACTGAATACAAGCCAGAATCTCTTAGTTGGCCACCCCAGATAAACATATCAGTGTCACTACTTTCGATCCGCATCCATGTGCTGTAACAGTCACAGCTCATCTTTTTGAAACAAGGAAACAGGGAGTGTAGGTTTCTAATCATACGTTTGCAATTGTCAGGGAGAGTCAGCAGGATGAGAAGTAAGATCAGGCAAGTTTTATTATTGACATTTTAGAAATTGTGGAAGGTCCCTAGCAAACTCTAACTTTATTCTACTTGGGCTCATGTCCAGGGGCCAAAATATTCTTTTGAAACCCTCAGAGTTTGTCGCAGTTCCACTTTTAAAAAGTGCTATCATTCCATTCTTTGGGGAAGGTGGAACAATGCTGCTTGTGTGCTTAAACTACTCGGGACATTAATATACTGTTTCTTTGGAAGGATTTGCTTTCCAAAGTTGAACTTTCAGAACTCAGAACACCTTATCGCACTTCCACAAGCTCTCTCTCTGAAAATGGAAAAAGAAAAAGGGGGTGGGGGAAGAGAGCCTGTTAGGACTTGTGCCAGTTAAATCCGATCTCTCCGGGGATTTGTTTTTCTTCTGGCGTCAGATTAGATGTTCAAATCAAGCAGTGTTTGAGGGCTGTGAGGGAATGTCCATGGGACTCTTAGTGAGACTAATCCCAAAGTGGCACATTCCAAGGGGCTAATCTGCCCAAGTTCATTGCTTACTTGAAGCGTCTCTTGGGGGAAGAGCCCGGGCAAGTGACTTTTTTTCCAGTGGGCGGTCATAAGACCATTATTAACGGGATGACCAGCCCCGGCCACAGCAAAATGAAAGCAACGGGAGCTGCTCGGGGGACTGCCTTTGCCTCCACCCAGAGTCAATGCTCAGGTAAAACGATTTCAGCTCACTTTTCTCTCATTCAACTTCTCATTGTTGGATCTGGGGACCTAGAAGAAGACCAAAGGGACACCCAGGGAGGTGTTGAGGGAAAGCAAAAGGCAAAAAATGAACCTATGCATTTGGGTCTTTGGTGTTTTGATCTGATGAAAACAGACTGTACAATTGAAATAGGAGAGTGTGACAATGACAAGTGTGCTGAAACTTTCCTTGTGATTTGTTCCTGTAAACTTAGCAGACTCTTTTTTCTACTCTTGCCATTCCTAGTCTGGGTTGTTGTCCTGCTGTAAGTTGCCTTGTTAAGAGTGAATGGGGATAGCACTTGCCACGGCTTTTAGGAGAAGGATTTAATGCACACTCTGTTGTGTGCGCCTCTGAACTGTCCCTGCCTGCAGAAACTCTTGATTCTGTCGCTAGCGGGAAGTGTACAGCAAGAAGATTCAGAGTAGTTTGGGGACGAAAGTTTGTAGCAGAGCCTTTGTGAAAAAGAGTTGAAACCTGCTTAAACAAAATGACTTGATGTTTTTTTTCTTTTTAAATGCAGCTTTTTT